TTTTTCTCACTAAATTGGGCGGACCAGACCTTGAAATACTGATATGTATAGAATTGCTATAGAATCTAATTTATCATTCAAGTAACAATTCCTTCCTACACAAGTTGTTTTTCCTGGAATTAACCGGTAATTTCTCACTAAATTGGGTGGACCAGACCTTGAAATATTGGTATATATAGAGGGACGACAGATTCACAAATACATCGTCTTCTCCAAGTGTTCCTACAAGAACAACTACTACAAAGAAGTATTCCTACCAGAACGACTACTACAAAGAAATTATGTCTTCTATTTGTAGTAAGAATTTATTATTAATATGAATTTATTATTTATACAGTATTATGGAATGACACCGCTGCTGCTAGAACGCCTTTCCCGAGGGGGAAAGGTAATCCTTAAGCTTCTTACCCACGGAGGGGGAATAAATTCCTCTTTACCACGGGAAATAAATGTCCCTCTCCGTAAGGAGAGAAATTCCCCATTGATATGAATTTATTATTTATACTACGGAATGACTAAAAAGCCAAGTAGGGGTCGGTCCGGGGCTACTAGTTTTAGAATAATAGTTAAAAAATACTGAATCTTAATAGTTTCAAATACAATATCAAAATTAATAAAATTCTTTTTCTAAAATGTAAATTTCACAGCTTGGTATGAGTAGAAATTATATATTTATTAAGGAAACTTCTATTATAAATAAATAAAATATACAATGGGTGATCGTTTAACGAACAAATCGGATAACGAACACTTTCGCGAAAGATTTTTATGATCGGACAACGAACACATGTTCGGATAACGAACACTTTACTGAACAAACATAAAATGTAGCGACGGAAAATAACGAATACCGATTGATTTTCCCTTGTCTTCAGGTAACAATTTGAAACCTTGCGGAGTGCAGGAGACGTCAACATCGACGCTCAACCCGATACCGATCGAATAGTATTAATATTCCTTCGAATTTGAAACTCTCTCTTGTAATTCCAGCTTTTTGTTTACTTTTCTGACAAATAATTCTTCATAGTATTCGCGAGACTGTCAGACGGGCACTTGTTAAGTTTTGTGTCGGTGGTTTATTTACGAAAGATAAAAGTTTAACTGTCCCATCGGATATTCGTCGACGTTTTAACACCAAATTTCGAATTTCATCCGAGCCTTTCATTTAAAAAATTTTTGTGGGCTAGTCGATTTCTGTTTTCTAAATTTTTGTAAGTGCTTTTCTGATCTTTTTATTTAAAAAAGAAACTGATAATATTATGGATCCTAAGAAGAGGACTGTCAAGAACTGTGCTCACCGTAGAAACCAAGTAAGAGATAATAGCCAAGGTACAAAAATGGGCATAAACTGTCTGATGTTGCTAGGCAGTATGGCTTAAACAGGTCTACAGTAGGCACAATCGTAGCTATGTAAGATATATCAAGACGTCTGAAGCTGCTAATGGAGTAATGAAAAACACATCTGAGAAATAAAGAGCATATTAGAGCTCATAATGAAACCTGAAACTGATCTGACGACAGAAGAACTCCAGAAACTCTCAAATGAAAAATTCCAAGAAACTCATCAAGATGTGTTTTCTTTTGAAAAAGAGGAAGGCGATAGAGGACCAATGTCGACATCTGCTACTAAAAAACTTTTGAAGAAGTGGGAGGATGTCAGAACAACGATCATCCAAGTGACATCCAAACCACAATAAGGTTAATGGGGTTGGAATCTCTACAATTGCAATAATATTAATTACTTCCAAAAAATCCTAAAGAAAAGAGAAAAACAATCGCCATTGGACAGATTCTTTAATGCCCACAAACAGAAAGAACATGACTAATAAAAATGCAAGACTGCATATACCTTGTATATGTATTTATACTATTGCATATAAATAAACATAGTAAGAAAGTATATATATTTTTTAGAGTCTCTGGAACGAATTAATCAAATTCCCTAACATAATAACCTATGGTAAATCGACAACCGGTTAACGAACAATTCGGATAACGAAGAAAGTCTTGGAAAGGATTATGTTCGTTAACCGATCAACCACTGTATTTGAAAAGATAATAAACACTTTTATATCTCAGAAAATACTGTTTTATAATGGCATGCATTTGTTTGTAGATTTATATATTTTTATGTTTCTATGTAATAATATAAAAGTAAGAGATAGTCAAGGAGACAGTTGATATGTATTCTTTATTACTTGATTTCTTTACGTTAAAATGTTTCAGATTTTTATCATAAATATCACAATAATTTATTATAAACAATTTTTACAAATTAATAATAGTGAGTGATATAAATTTATACTATTGTCCTAAATTCCGAAAAATTACTGACTGCTTTTTATAATTTTAAATTACTCAAAGTTGCTATTTTAATATTTGTGACTCATTACAGTTTAAACAATCTCATTAAATATACACAATAATTAAAATAATAAATAATCACATAAAAATGCAATTTTCAAATATTTTAAAAACTAATTAAACAATTTTTAATTCTGACAATTGTATGCATGTAAATAACAATCCCGATTTATTGTACAGTACATGTACATGTGTGTGATTGTTTATGTAGTAATTTAATTTTTTTATTTAAACAAATGATAAGACAAATATTCGTTTATTTATCTTTACAGTAGTAAATTATTTAGGCGATAAGATACTATTTAAGTTAGATAAATGTTAGATAATAGACAGATATCAGAAGACAGAAGCACTAAACTAGAAAAACGAACAAGAGGGCAGAGTGGTTGTTATTCTGTTACTGCTCTTTTATCGGTGATGTCCGGAGACATGTTAAATCATAAATACTAAATAAATTGCATTATCTAATGTAATTCGGTGAAATTTGTAATGGAAATCTGAGAGCAAATACGTCTGTAATTGGATACTTTTTTCAATTTTAATAATCCAGAAAACACAGAGTGCAAGGTCGTTGTCATCTAAAAAATGAAAATATATAAAAATTTATTTATTGAAATAGTTTCTTATAATTAATGAATCGAGTACTGAGTTACTCAATATTGAAAATCTTGATAAAGTAAAGCTACCTTCAAAGGAATTCTCTTGTCCACGCAGAAGAAACCTCCAATGGACAGACACAATAAGACTTTTCCAAATCTTTTCATGAAATTCAATATCTAACAATGAATATAGTATATAATATAAAATTTATTAAAGCTGATGTACAGTACAATAAGAAAGCAATTAATTAATTAATGAGATTTTACTTTTAACTTTTGTTGCAGTTCCAAATCGCATTCTGCAAATTGTCGGATGTCTTGAAATCCATTTTGCATCTAAAAATTTAAAATTACATTAATAAATAAATTTACAGATTAAAATATCTATTAATGTGTGACGATGAATAAATACCGTGAAAGCAATGCAGCATAGCAAACAGGCACATATAATGCAGACGAATGAAA